TCCCGTTGTTGAACGGGAAAATTTCAGAGTAAAATGTCATGCCTGTGCATGAAGAACTTGCTGTGGATTTTAAAATCTCTCTGCAGGGTGAAAAGGTACAGGTCGTGCTGCTTCAGTTCCAAGTCAGGGAGTCTGAGAAGAGGCACTGAGGCCGAGGAGCAGAGCATGGGCTCTGAAGTCCGACTCCCCACTTTCTGGCCGCTGACCCTGTGCCTCAGTCTCCCCATCTGTAGAACAGGGATAATAACAGTACCTATTGTGTAGGGCTACTATGAGGCTAAATGCATCACTACAGGGCAAGCCCTTGCAGGCATATACGACCAGCTTGGCTACTGTTAACTATTACCCAGCGGTTTGGGTTTAGAATGTTGGCAAACTTTCTTTCCAGCCAGAAAGAAGGTTCTGGTAACCTGAATGTCACCCAACTCAACTCCCTCCATGTGAGAAAGAGGGAGAGCTGATGGCAGTCAGGTTCCCATCCTCTGACTAGGTCTTGAAAGAAAATCAACCAAGGAGAAAAGCTCCCACTTCTGGCCACAAAGGCTGATCCTACTCGGTGTACAGAGCTGGCAAAGAAGTGTGCATGGTCTGGGGCCTGAGCCTGGACTGGGGCTACCATGTTGGAGACCTCTGTCCTGTGCAGATGTGTCCCGAGACCCACCTCCAGCCCTTCCTTGCCACCCCCAGACATGGAGCAGAGGAACTGTTAATACCTGCCCGCCCTCAGCCAGGGAAGAAGTGCCGGTCTACAGGGAGGGGAGGGGCATAAACGGTGGGCAAGGGGGTGCCTGGAGCAACCTTCGTCTTACCCACATCTTGCCCACACTTTCCCCCTTGTCTTAGTTCTAGGGTTAGAGGTGGTGGTGTGGCCAAACCATGACGACAGCTGGGAGATTTGGATAAACTAATCCCCGTCACCCCGCCCAACCCCACTCCTAACAGCCCCTATAGCCACCAGCCAACAAATTCATCCCGAATTCCTCAAACGTGCTGCGCACTTTCCCGTCGTCGTTTGTTCAACAGCCCACTTCCTCTACTGACCCTACGTGGCCCAGTCTGCCCACTGGCAGGAGGAGAGGACCCTGCCCACGGCTGGTGCAGTGGAAATGAATACATTTTCTGTGTGATATTTACCCAAACCCTACCTTTTCTCACATGACCCAGGAGTTCTATTTCTTGGAATTCATCCTAAGGACATGACCGTACAAAGACTTATTCACAAGACGCCTTCAGCTATTAACAATCATGTTTCTGGCCAGGCGTGGTGGCTTCCACCTGTAATCCCAGCACTTTGGGAGGCCAAAGTAGGCAGACCACTTTGAGGCCAGGAGTTTGAGACCAACCTGGCCAACATGGTGAAACCCCACCTCTATTAAAAATATAAAAAATTAGGTGGGCATGGTGACACACACTTGTCGTTCCAGCTGCTTGGGAGGCCGAGGTATGAGAATCACTTAAACCCAGGAGGTAGAAGTTGCAGTGAGCCCAAATCATGCCACTGCACTCCAGCCTGGGCCGTAGAGCTAGACTCTGCCTCAAAAAAAAAAAAAATCCTATTTCTGAAGAGTGTTTGATAACAGAAAAAAGGCTAAAAATATATTACTAAGCAGAAAAGGAAAACCATACAGGATGTAAGCTTCATTAAATACATGTATTATTATTATTTTGAGATGGAGTCTCTCTCTGTAGCCCAGGCTGGAGTGCAGTGGTGCAATCTCGGCTCACTGCGACCTCCGCCTCCCCGGTCCCAGTTCAAGTAATTCTCCTACCTCAGCCTCCCAAGTAGCTGGGATTACAGGCATGAGCCATCATGTCCAGCTAATTTTTGTATTTTTTAGTAGATATGGGGTTTCACCATGTTGGCCAGTCTGGTCTTGAACTCCTGACCTCATGATCCACCTGCCTCAGCCTCCCAAAGTGTTGGGATTACAGGCATTAGCCACCGTGCCCGGCCCATGTATTACATTTAAAAGACATCAAAGAAAAACCAAGGCCGGGCGTGGTGGCTCACATCTGTGATCCCAGCACTCTGGGAGGCCGGGTGGGTAGATCACAAGGTCAGGAGCTCAAGACCAGCTTGGCTAACTTGATGAAACCCATTTCTATTAAAAATAAAAAAAAATTAGCTGGGTGTGGTGGCATGCACCTGTAATCCCAGCTACTCAGGAGGCTGAGGCAGGAGGATTGCTTGAACGTGGGAGGCAGATGTTGCAGTGAATTGAGATGGCGCCACTGCACTCCAGCCTGAGTGACATAGCGAGACCTTGCCACTGCCAAAAAAAAGCTAGAAACAGATCAAAGTGCTAACAGCATCTCTCTCCAGGTGGTTGGACTGCAGACGTGGATCTTTGTTGCCTTTGCTCTTTTGTTTAGTTCCATCAGGACATCCACCGTCAGTGTGCCCCTTCTTCTGGCAACGGCACCTCAACTCCTCTGGAAAGTCACACCTCTGCCACCAGCTGTGGCCTTTTAGAACAGTCCATCAGAGCACCCAGGGCTAGGTGCGGGACCCAAGCTCAGCTGACGGGCCTCCCTCTCCTGGGACTATGAATCTTGGGCAATGAAACCCAAGGATGGAGAAAGCGGGCTCCAGCATCTTGGACTCTTCGCTGGAGAGTCTGTGAGCTCTGCCCCTGTGGTCTCAGGCCTGCTTCCTCAGGCTTCCCTTTGATTCCCTGAGCAAAGCAACATCCTTCTAATCGGTCCTGCCTTTGTTCAAGTTAGCCAGAGGCTGCTGATGTTGCTGGGACTAGGGTCCTAACTGACATCCTCTTCCTCTTAAATCCGTACTGTTTCCAAATCCTCTCCAGTGAGTGAACGCTAGCTACCTGCCGGGGAACACACAGGCAGTGGGCACAGGCTCTCGACAGGCAGACCCGGAGCAGGCCTCGCTGGCTGGGCAAGCGTCAGACCCAGTACATGAGCTGCCTCATCCCTCGGAGCCTCAGTTTCTTCATCTGTCAAATCAGAATTTTTCTTGCTTCACAGGCAGCTGTTATAAATGTCAGAAGGACAGCGCCTGGCGGATCAAAGCATCAAATGAGCGGCAAGCCCTGATGCTCACAGCTGTTCAGTAACTCTCTGTTGGACAAATGAATCTACTCATCTAACAACAAACGGTGAGTACTCATGGTGTGCGCCCTGCGCTGGGCGCTGGGCTTGACAGCGGGCAGGACAGTGAGAGCCCAGCCTGCACAGGTCCCGGCCCAGTCGGGAGATGGACAAAGAACAAGTCATAGAGGAAAACGTAAACCCATTTCAAGTGGTGGGAAGCGTTATCCAAAAACCAAGGTGGACAAAGAATACACTTAAACATGATGGTCACAAAATGTGGGGAGACTTCTGGGCGGAGGCCTCATGGATGAGAAGGCACCAGGACTGGGGATGGGAGGAGAACATGTCAAGCCAAAAGCTGCTGGGGAGGGGCCCCAGTGGATGGAGAGGCAGGCAGGCCCTGCAGGTCATGCTCAGGCATGCGTACATGGTTTCTAAAGGGAAACCATAAAGAAGTTTCGAGTCAGGAGCTGCCATGATCTGCTGTGTGAGAAGCCTCGTCAGCCTGCGTGGAACCGAGAGGAGCAGGCAGTTTAGGAGGCCCCGTCAGCTGCCCTGGGAGGAAACGCCAGGGTGGTGGCAGTGAGAAGACAGAAGCGGACAGGTGCCAGGCGCGGTTTAGAAATCGGTCCCACAAGACATGGGACGCACCGACACGCCGGAGGTGAGGGGTTAGAGAAGACTTCGTGAGGACGGCAGACAGCACTGCCACCCACTGGGAGGGAAGGAAGGACACGGCAAGGAAACCAGCACCCCAGGGACAGATACGTCGGGTCTGAGTGTCTGGAGCTCGAGGGCGGTCCCGGACTGAGGCTACAAAGGTGGGACGATCGGCACAAAGACGGTATCTAATCCCCAGGAACAGACGAATGAGGCCATGTTAATCTCGCTCCCACAGTTGCCGGTCGATGGCCATGGCCACCCAGTGCAACTCCAGCTAAAACAGTGACTGCCTCAGCCTCCTCCTGAGTAGCTGGGAGTACACTGTGCCAGACCGTGAATTTCATTTAAACATGGAACAGGCCAGGCCTGGTGGCTCACGCCTGGAATCCCAGCACTTTGGAAGGCCGAGGCGGGTGGATGACCTGAGCTCAGGAGTTTGAGACCAGCCCGGCCAACACGGCAAAACTCTGTCTCTATTAAAAATACAGAAAAAATTAGCTGGGCGTGGTGGTGGGCTCTCATAATCCCAGCTACTGAGGAGGCTGAGGCAGGAGAATTGCTTGAACCCAGGGGGCAGAGGTTGCAGTGAGCCAAGATCATGCCACTGCACTCCAGCCTGGGTGACAACAAGAGCAAAAATCTCCATCTCCAAAAAAAAAAAGGAATCCAGAGAGAAAGGTCATGTGAAGACCCCTGAAAGAACTCATGCCTGAGGGTTTGACGCCCCCAGAGCAGGAGGGGCTCCAGGCTGAACATCTCGCCTTCCTGAGCTTGGGAAGAGCTGCTCTGCCCTCCAGCACAAGTGCCTCCTCCAGGGTCACAGACCTTTCCTCTGGGTTTGGCCACTTCAAGTTCCCAATTTCCAGAAAGGTCTCAATGTCATGCAATTCTAATTCTTTTCAATGAAGATAATAAAGTGAGTATATAGCAAAATGAACTTTACCCAGCTCACCTTTGTGAGACTTTCCATGGAAATATATCCACATGCCTCGAGGCCCTCCCCAGCTACGGTTCTCACCCTTCAAAGGCCTGCTCTGGCCCAGGCTGACCTGACACAGTGACAGGCACCCTTCCCTGTCATCATAACAAGAAACTGCATCATAATGAGTCCCCAACTAGAGCCTCAGGCTGGGGCAGGAGAGGGCCTTGGGGAGCGGGAGCCACTGTCACAGGGGTGGGGGAGTGCTGCGAGGGTCCATCCCCTTTCCACAGGCAGGCTGAGTCCCACATCCCGCACCTGTTTGAACACGGGTAAGGTCCAGCTGAGCAGATGCATGCCTTACCTTCTCATAGGGACAGTACTTGAACATCTTGATGGGGCTTGTGCAGATGAAGACGTCAGTGCTGTCAACAAGAGAAGGGAGGCTGAGCAGCGAGCCTGCAGCCCCCGACTCACCACCCGAGGCCCCCCCACCTGCCCCGCCTTCACAGGGCTGGACCCTCTGAGTCTGAACCCTTCACCTGCTGTGGGAGCCCCACCACCCTGTACTATCTCCACACCAGAGGCGTTGGCCTCGCGTGTCTGCCCCATCCCATGGCCCTGGGCAGCCACATGTCCCTACCCTGGCCAGGCAGCCAGCTCTGGGCTGGACATCTGCCTGCAGGGCCTCCTGCGATGCAGAGAGGTAAGTCAAGAAATCTGTGAGGAAGAAGGGTTCTGGTGTGCAAGTCCCCTGGCCCGGGGAACACAGAGAAGGGGCCTACTCTATGCTGGGCTGAGCCCTGCAGTGATGGAGTCCCTGAAAGACAGGCTTGGCGTGGCTCAGCATGAGGAGCACCAAGTCCTTGGAGTCACAGTGCTGCGCTGTAACCACGGGGAAGCTGACCAAAATGGCCTCCCAGGTGCCTGCACCCTCATGCCCACAGGGCCCCTAGCCCTCACTAATGGGGCCACTTGGCCCCAAACACCCTCATGAGGCTGGCATTCACCACTGGAACCTGTACCTCCTGTGCATTTTGCTGAGCCTCTGGAAGACAGAACTTTGCTGATGCTTTCTCTCTGGCAAACGAGTCCCCCAAGAGGCAGAGGTAAGACTGGGCACAGGGTGTGCCCTTTCATTACCTGCTCTTGGCACTACCTCCACCAGCCACGCCAGCCCCTCTCCTAAAGACCCAGCCTCTCCCCAGCATCCTCACTCCTGCCCCCGCCGAAACTGGCCTCACATCAAGGGTGCAGCTCCCCAACTCGCCTCTGAGTGAGAGCTGCCTCTTCCTCACACCCCACAGGCTTCAGAGATGGCGGCATCTTCCTTCTCCATTGCTCATTCCACATCCCTGATGCCAGTGCCCACACCCTATAGCACATCCCTGCTGCTGTTCCTGGCCGCTGTCACTGTTGCCAGTTACTATCCCTTATGCACTCTGTCGCTGGCTCGCCATCTTCTCCACTCCTGCTCCATCACAGTCCTCAGTGACTTGACACATGTCCACGTGTATGTGTGTGCACAGGTGCAGATCCAACACTTTGTCACTCAGCTCCTAACCTTCCCCACCTCCAAACACCCAACCTCCAATACGTCTCCTACTGTCACCCCATGGAGCTTGGAGTCACTTCCCCCCAAATCCTAGTCTCAGGCTTTGCCTCCCAGGCCACCACCCACAACGCTTCAGCACATGTGTTCTCTCATCCTGCACGCAACTCCAGCCTCATGGAGACACCCTCCTTGTCCCAGCTTGGTGACCCGCCTTTACCCAGCTGGAGCCCAGCCTTTGCTGCCATCCTCTGCTTGTGTCTCGTCCCCCACCCAGGCCTGTCTCGCCAGGCCCCTGAAGGAGCCCAGCTGTCCCACTGCTCCCCCCTGCACCCAAGCAACTCAGTGTTGCTGGAGAAGAAAATTCACATCATCAGTTGGACCCATTTCATCTTCAATTCCTGACACTGAGCCAGGGCCTGCAGCTGCCTGGCAGCTCTCTCCGGTGTCTCTCTGGCACTCTGGGCACACACCTGCCTCATTTCCTCGGTCTTCTTGTGGGTGAGACTCTGAGCGCACCTCATCAAGGATGTGGAAGCTCACCTGCCACTGGGCTCTCTTCCTCCTCCATTCCAGCTCCTCGCCAGACTCCCCGTCTAGCCCTCTGCTGACCTCTCCAGGTTGGGTCCAGGCCCTCGGGGGCTCTCTGCCTGCACTCCCGCTTTAAACACCTTCTGCACGCTGATGTGTCTCAGCCTCTCTCAGCACCAGCCTTACACCCACCTGGACGCCTCACACACCTCACGCAGGATTTCCAATGTGGGACATGTGATCCTCTGCTCCTAAAGTCTGTCCCTCCCTGAGTCTTCCCTCAGTTCCTGGACTATTTTAGATAAACAGAGATGATAAAGACAGAGCTGTGCTCAAGCAAAATACCTAAAAATCACCTCTTTTTCCTACCTTTCTTCTACCCCTAATATCAGATCCATCCCCAGGTCTTATGGGTCCCACCAAAGCACACGTCATCCACCAGCCTCTCTCCACAGACCTCACCCCAGCCCCAACTGAGCCGCCTCCCACTGGGCAGCCGCAACCACCTCCACTGACTCCTCAACTTCCAGGTCTCGCCCTCCAAGCATTTCCACCCAGCATCCAGACTGAGGCTTTGTAAACAGCTTTACTGAGGTATAATCAACATGCAATCAACTGCACATATTAAAAGGGTACAATTCAATAAATTTGGACATAAAGACACGCATGGGAGACCGGGCGTGGTGGCTCACTCCTGTAATCCCAGCACTTTCGAAGGCTGAGGCGGGTGGATCACCTGAGGTCAGGAGTTCAAGATGAGCCTGGCCAATATGGTGAAACCCTATCTCTACCAAAAATACAAAAATTAGCCGGGCATGGTGGTGCACGCCTATAGTCCCAGCTACTGGGTAGGCTGAGGCAGGAGAATCACTTGAACCTGGGAGGTGGAGGTTGCAGTGAGCTGAGAAGACGCCACTGCATTCCAGCCTGCGCAAAAGAGCAAGACTCTGTCTCAAAATAAATAAAGAGATATAAAAACATAAATAAAAGATACACATGGGAAACCCAGATCACCACAGTCAAAAAATAAATATACCTGCCACCCCCAAAGGTTTCCCTCTGTTATCTCTCCCAACTGCCCCTCCCTGTCCCTCCCTGCCCCTCCCTGTCCCCTGTCACCCTCTCCGGGGACCCAGGCAACTACCCATCTACTTTCCATCAGTACAGACTGGATAGTATTCTCCAGAATGTAACTTAAATGGAAACATAGTCTTATACTCTGTTTTGCCTGGCTTCTTTCATCCAGCAAAAACTATTCTGATATTCACCCGTATTATTAAATAAATGTATCAATAATTTGTCCTAATTTTTAAATTGAGTAAACATTTCTTAAAAGTTTTATTGAGGGCTGGGCGCAGTAGCTCATGCCTGTAATCCCAGCACTTTGGGAGGCTGAGACGGGTGGATCATGAGGTCAGGAGATTGAGACCATCCTGGCTAAACACAGTGAAACCCCGTTTCT